GTATTTAAGAAATATTTCTTAAATACAAAGAAATATTTTTTAAATATTAAGAAATGATGTTTAAGAAATGATTTCTTAAATACGAAGAAATCTTCTTAAATGTTAAGAAATCCTTCTATCAGTGTGCGATAAACTTTTGAGTTTAAATTTTGGTGTCGGTTTCTTCGCAAATATTAATAAAATTTTAAACTAAAATGAAAGCTCAGAAATTAGTTTTAATTCAAATTTATTCTTTGTGTTGATATGCGAATTATTGCAAGATAATTACCGATATTTGTGTATTGTTTTGCTCAAAAGAAAAAACTTTAAACAAAAGAAATCATTCTGAAGAATTTCATTTTTTTGAAATAAGTATTTTTTCTCGGTTCAAAAATTTTTCAGCATGGCTCAAGATAATGAAATTCTTCTGAATTGTTTTGTTGGTTCAAGATTTTTTTTTTTTCAATCTAGTAAATTTTTTCACAAGTCTACTGTTTTTGTCAATAATCAAAGACGGGTTGTCATTATAATTAAAAATTATATTATTATCTTCATCATCAATAATTGTAAATAAAGCCTTTTTAATCTTACTGTCATGCAGTAATATTCCAATAAACAGATAATCATAGTTGATGCTCCAACTTCAACAAGACAAACCTCACGTAACATTCTTTCAATACTTTTTGAGAAACTGAAAAATATTAAAAAATTTTAATAGAAAAAAAAATATCGAATGCACGAAAAAAGATACAAAAATATTGAAGAAATTAACTCTAAAACTCTAACATGACTTTGTATTATAGATGCAATCCGATTATCAATAGTATCATTTGTTTTTGAGTTTTCTTTCTTTAGCAAATTTTCTAATTTTGATTTAAGTATGTCAATTTGCCCACAGGCGTGAGTAGCAAATACAGCAGCTAAATGGCAAGCTCCTGTTGTAATGGTTTGCATTACCATACCGCATGTGAAATGAAGAAAAAAAATGAATTCGTAGATTGGAGTTTTTTGACAGTTGAAAAAAATTTCATTCCCTGGATAAGCAAGCGGTCGGATTGTTTCGTTCAATTCATTTAATGTACTACCTTTCCACATAGGCATAAATGTGTGGTATGAAACACCGCCAGAAAACATAAAAACTGCACATAGTTTAGTGATATTACGACCAACATTAACACTTTCGATCATTTTCTGTCGATCTTCCTCTGTTTTTACTCTAGCCCAATCAGCTTTGACATGATTTAAACAATTTGTTATAATATTAGAACGATACATTATGAAGTAATATTTACAGCAATTGGTAAGACAAAAACCAAAAGGTCCCATTAAAATAATTTTCACAGCCGGATCAGTTTCTCTGAAGATCATATGTACACAACACGGCATAAAAGTTATGAACATTATGAATAAATTTACGAAAATAATTAAAACTGACGATAATTTACTAGTTAAATTAGAATCTCTAGTAACAAACGACCAAACTCCGAGAGGCTTAAGTATCCATTTTGTTAATTTTAAATTATAATCTATGTCTTCCAAAAGCTCACTATTCTTAATGATCATAATTTTTATTTTGACAATAATAAAAATTAACTATTATGTTTCAGATGTAGTTAACAATCGCGTTACTATATCCAATAGTTGTTGAATACAAACCGATTAAAAATGAGTAAGAAGTGCTGCTCACAAATTACTTCTTCGGAAGCAAACTATTTTTGCGCATGCGTTAAAAAGTTGTAAATATACAAATGTAAACTTTAGTTGTACATACAAACTACCCTCTTAGTAATACTTGGAAACTAAAATAAAAGTTTATACTTCACTACAGTTTTAAAAATTTTTAAATATTCTAAAGAAAAATAAAAGTTTACAACAGTTTTTAAGTTTTAAAATATCCTTAACTGAAACAAAGGCTTACTGGTTGTTTAAGTCTTAAAATATCCCTTGATAACGAAAGTTTAAATATCAACGAAAGTTTTTTATTTTCTTTGTTTTCAATAATGTATATTTTTTTGGTAACAAATAATATTAATGAAAATCTAAAAATTTTTGATCCAGGAAAATGAAATAACATGAAAATGAAAGTTTATTTCACAAGCTTTTAAATGTAATTGACAGAAAGTTCAAAAGTTATCGGTTATCACATTCAAAAGTTACTTCAAGAAGGATCTACAGAACTGCGATTTTTTGCAATTTTTTGAATTTTGTATTTTCGTTTCTAAACTAATCGACCAACTTGGATCATTTTCGAAGTTGACCCCGAGAATCGTCTTAAGAAAATTTTTTTGAGTTCCGTTAGAATCTGTTATGAATTGTAGATGTTATCGTTGTGACAAATTGAGTTATATCCTTATAAATAAACATATTAAGATATATCTTATGAGAAGAAGAGGGACGATCGAAGAAGGAGTGATAGAAAAAAAAGAAAATATTTGTGGGGTAAGGTGTTTCGTGTACACGGAAAAAAATTGTAGGAAAAATGACAATTGTTACATCGTTATGTAGGACTGGACTCTCAATAATTTCACTTTCATAATTTTAAAATTTAAAATACCATTTTTAACTTGCCGCTAAGAAAATCGAAGATTTTCAAAAATCGAGAAGTTATCGTTTTTACCCAGTATTGCAAAAATCGAGTTTTCATCAGATCTCGACGTTTTAAGGTCAGAAGAAGCTTCCCTGACTACTCCCGCGATGTTGTCACTATTTCTGTATGTATGTATGTGAACGCGCGCGCGCGCGCGTGTGTGTGTGTGTGTGTGTGTGTGTGTGTGTGTGTGTGTGTGTGTGTGTGTGTGTGTGTGTGTGTGTGTTGTTTGTTTTTTTTGTTTTTTTTGAGAAGCGGAAAAAATCTTCGAAAGACACCGCTATCATTGAAAGATGATGGTCGGTAGTGTGGGATCTTTACCCACTAGAAAAAAACACCTCTCTCTTCCCCCGTGGATGGTACGGAGATGACTGGAACGGAACCGCGTTAGCTTTACTTCAATCCAGTCCATGTTGCGTCTCACGACGCCTACTTCTTGTGACTACTGGTTTCTAATCCCTTTCTGCAATTTTTTCTTTTAAAAGACGCTGCGCGTAGGCTGCGACAGCTGACCAGTTTTCTACCTTTTTGATCATGCAGGTTACCAAGCTCTCAGGGGAGAGCGTGTTGCCTATTGTTTCTTCAGTGCTGCTTCTGTCGTCCTTCGACCGATCACACTCGAAAAACGTGTGCTCGGCGTTGTCAATTTTGTCTGGGCAATATTTGCACGTCGGTGTGCTGTGCAAACCCATCTTGAAAAGATAGGCATTGAACTACCCATGTCCCGTCAATAGCCGGGTCAGGAAGAAGTCCGTGTCCCCCTGTTTCCGAGAAAGCCAGACGTTGATGATTAGGATCAGGCACGCCGTCCATCTGCCCATCTCTCCCGATGTCCATCAGTCCTGCCATTCTTGCTGCGTTTCCGCCTTTATCCTCGTTCTTGCGTCCTTCATGTTTTCGTCACTGTTTTAAGCGTCATAGAGTTTTGCTCTCTCAAACGTGAGTAGGTCGATGGGCGTGGCTCCCGCCATGACCAATACAGCCGCTTCGGAAACTGTGCGGTAGGCGCAGGCAACCCTGAGAGCGCCTCGCCGCTGTACTGCTGCGATTTTTCGCCGGTAGATCTTCTGATTTAATATGTCTGCCCATATCTCCGCTCCATAAATCAGTACCAAGTGGACTGCTTCTAGAAGAACTCATCTCTTTTTTGTTCTTGGTCCCATAGTGTTGGTCATAATTCATGCTAGGCTAGACACCGTCTTGCTGGCTTTCT